ACCGTATAAACCGGCCGCTGCTCTCCCTGGAGAAGGAGAGCATCGGCAACCCTAATCTCTCTATCTCTACGCCTCTGCGTCTCTAAGCCTCTCTTGATTATTAGGGTTCTCGTAAGTTAGCCTCCTTTTATAGGAGAAGTTAGCTAACTTACGGGTTACAAGGAAGCCCCTGGGCAGATACACATTTGTGGCCCGTATTACACGTTTAATTAATAACTACACAAATACAAAGATATTTAATTAGATTGGACACCATAAAATATTCCTAACAAATATGTGTGTGGGTTAAACTAGGAACTTCTTTGCGGGACGGAGGGAGTATTATTTCATCCTTCACTTTTCGGGATACTTTATTCTTTTATCTATTACTACATCCGTCCCAAAAAATACTTCCTGGTTTGACTTGGCACGATTATTAAGAAAGTGGAATAAAGTGGAAATGTATGGTTGTAGTTGTGTAAGAAAAAAGGTAAAATTAATGTGAACCACACAAATTGTCCTAAAGGGAAAGTGGGAAGTGTTGTTTAGAACGGCCCAAAGAGGAAAGTGAGAAACATTTTTTGGAACGGAGAGAGTATTTCATCCTTTACTTTATCCTTTTATCTATTATTTCATCCTTTTTCATTTGAAAAAATGACACAAGTATGACTTCTCGGATACGCGTGGACACAAATGATAGTAAATGCTAAAATGGACAAAAAATTTACTACCGTATCATTGAATAGTCTCAAAAGCCGAACTCGCCGTTCATCCGTGTCATCTTTGACCTCTCCTTTTCTTCTATTTCTGTCTGAATTTGGGGGGTGCGAATGACCACATCTGTTGTCATCCTCGATGGATCGATGACAATGTGGAAGGTCAAGAACAAACAAATGTGTTTCTGACTTCGCCGTTTCCGGAGCTAGCCAATCGCGGCGATCACGGCTAGGGATGGGGATGGGAGCAAGAAAATATAAGGGGAGCAGTGCAACAGGGGGCTTGGGCGCGGTGGTGCCGGAGGGGATGGGGCATGGGGGCGTGGTAGTGCCAGAGGGGCTGGGGCGTGGTGGTGTCGGATGGGCAGGAGGCTGAGCGATGCAAGGGAGGGGTCTAGGTGAGGTACGGGGGTGGGTGAGGTAGGGAAGGGCTGGGTGAGGTAGGGGATGGGGTTTGGTTGTTTCCGGCGGTGGCCAGAGGTGACCATAGGTGGTGGGAGACGGTTGAAAATTGGTTAGTGGGAATAACGCAATAACTATGGAGCCAACAATGGTAATTATGACTACCAGTAGTAATTGGTCGGGTGATCATTGTCCGACAGGTCATTGTGGGTGGCGAGGTCGCTGACCGACGAGTCATTGTGAGTGGCGAGGTCACTGGCCGGCAGGTCACTGTAAGTGTATCTGGTCGGATAGCTGGTCATTGTATTGTTGGTCCCTGAGACAGTAGTAACTGAGACAGTGATCACTGAAACGGTAGTAATTAAGACGGTGGTCACTGGAATGATAATCACTTGAGTAGTGGTAACTGGGGCAGTGGTCATTGAAGCGATAATAACTGGAGCGGTGGTAACTGAGATGGTGATCACTGAAATGATAGTAATTGTGACGATTGTCACTAAAGCACTAGTAACTGGGACATTTTTTACAACTTTTATAGAGTTTTAGTGCATGCAATATTTTAAATATGTATTTTAAGATATATGTATTGTTATATTAAAATCAAAAGAAAAATTAAATGTTAGATTATTATATGTTAGCTAAAGGCTAAAAGCAATGAAGTCATATGTAGTGAGCCGTTAGTGCAAAGACTGCAATGATATGGAACAAAGGCATGCGGGTGTAGTGTTGACCGTTGAACAAGAAGGGTAATTTAGAGAAGTAGGAGCTTATTAGTCACATTTTGAATGTTTTAAGTAATATTCTCAAAACCCCTTTTCTTTTTCTTATTTTATCTTTATTTTACTAAAATTTTATGACAAAGCCACATGTGTCTACTTCTGTTATAGGACATGTATTTTACGTTATGGGATAGAATGAGTATTTAAGGCTGCCTGCAACCCATGGGGTGAAAACTTCAAATTTGAGGTATTCACCCCAAATAAGCTCCAAGGCAAGCAAAAAATTGTAGAAGAGGGTCTCACAGGGAGCATACAAAACCTTGGGAAGGGAAAGGTAGGTCATTCATTCTCTCAATAAAAGCAAAAGACGTAGCCAAATGACCTCGCCTCAAGGGAAGCCACCAAGTGGCCCAAGATAAAATAAATTAACTTTTTATTTAAACTATTATAACTTTGGTATTTATACTCCAAATTTTATAAAAAATATACCAAAATTATTACTTTTTATAACCTTTCATTTGATATCAATATAGCATATACTACCTCCGTCCCACTATGATTGTCTCATTTTTACCTTATCGGTTCGTCCCAATAAGATTATCTCATACTAAATTTGGTAAAGTTTGTGTGGTTTTAAATCATTCTTACTTTATTCTTACTTTATCAATTCAATATCAACCACATAAGCTACTTTTTATTAATTTGCGTGTCACCCCCTTTTGTCCCATTGTTAGCAGGACGGAGGGAGTATAAATTTCAAAACAAAAAATTCAACTATCGGAGAGTATTTTATCTATTTTTTTTTAAATAGATTCAAGTATTAAAATTAAGATCTCATTGTTCAATATTTTTTTACATTTATCAACTATTATTTCTTCAAAATAAGCCTGAAGTAACAAAAAAACTAAACTCCAAATTTATTTATTTTTACATCAGAATTTTTGACTTTTTAATGTTACAGGTCATAGTATATAAAATGAAAACTTAATAATATACAAATATAGAAAACAATTAGTAGTTTTAAATTTATTTCAAATTGAACTCAAGTACGCATTTTCAATACTTACAAAAAAATTAACACATTTTTTATTTTTTTACATCGGAATGTTTGAGTTTTGAGAAATGATGCTAAATAGGAGCTTAAGTTTCCATACGTAATTAAATAAGACTTTTACTTTTTTAACTCCTAAATAGGACCTAATTTTAAAAAGTTTCTAAAATTGCCCCTGTTATCTTACCCCTAATTTCTTTTGCTATCTCTATGTCTGGCCTCATCATCTTCCCTGTGTGTCGATATACTCCTACCAGCCACACTTCCCTATCAACAACACGGCAAGTCTGTGACGCGGTATGATGACACAGTGAGTTGAGGCGGTGGTGGCAGCACAGCGACGCGGCAGTAGTGGCAGCAAAGCGACGCGGCGATGGCAGTGGCAGCACAGCGACGCGGCGGCGGTGGCAGCACAATGACGCAACAGTGGTCATTGCGCTTCTACATCTCTCAAGTTTGACAGATCTCCCTAGATTTGAAGCGGACGACAAAAGAGGTGAGGGATGCCAGAGAAATAGACCTCTTCGTCTCCCTTCTTTTTCTTCTCTGCGCACTCCCAGATCTCCCTATTTTTCTCGCTGCACAAGCCGGCTCCTTTTTAAAGCTTAGGAGAACCTGCTATTTTGAATGCTAACCACCTTTTTGTTTTTTTGTTGATAAAAAAAAATTGTCCCTGTTTTGCACTAGAATTCTTTTGCACTAGAATTGTTTGATGAAATGCCTACATGAAAATTGTCCTTGTTTTGCATTTTTTAGTTGAAAAGAGTTTTGGGCAACTTACTTAAATTGCATGAGGGGCTCATTATGTATGTACTCAATTAATCATGTGATGTTATTATAACATTGACATATTTTCTAGCTTTTAATTATGACAATGTCATTTTTCTAACGTTGACATTGTTACGACAATTTCATTGACATTGTCACGACATTGTCATTTTCATTGTCGTCATTTTAATGTCATCTTTATAACATTTTAATTCCTCCTTTTCTTCTTTTTCTCCTTTTCTTTTTTTTTCTCCTTCTTTCTAGTTCTCTTCTTCTCTTCTAGATTTGGGACCAATTTTTCTTTTAGATCTGGGAATTTCCGATTGCCTACCCGAGGTGCAATGTTTTTAATTTTTGATACTCTTAGGATTTTTCCCAGGTTTCTTTTTCTTATTGTATTTGTCTTTTGAATCGTATTCTATTTGTTTATTTAATTTCTTTTTTTGAGTTCCAACTTTTACGCATTTTTTATTTAATTTTTATTGTTTTTAATGTATGTATCAATGAATTTGTCTTTTGCACTATAAGTGTTTGATGAAATCCTATATGAAAAATGTCCCTATTTTGCATTTTTTAGTTGAGAAGAGTTTTGGGCAACTTCTTAAATTATATGAGCAAGTGGGCTGATTATGTATGTACTCAATTAATCGTGTGATTTCATTGTAACATTGACGTATTTTTTACCTTTTAATTATGATAGTCATATAATGAAATTGTTAACATTCTCACGATTATTTCTTTTTAACAATGTTTACAATAATGTCACATTGGCGTTGTTTTTAACAATGTCATTTTTCTAACATTGACATTGTCACGACAATTTCATTGACATTGTCACGCCAATGTCATTGATATTGTCATAACAATGTCATTTTCATTTTCGTCATTTTAATGTTATTTTGATATTTTTATGACATTGTCACATTCTTTCTCTCTTTTTTACAATACATAAAAATATACAATATTGTGACATTGACATTGTTTTTAATATTGTTGGGTTTATAGCAATAACATTGTCACGATCTTATTGTGATTGTTGTCGATATTAAAATTGTCATGATATTAGCAAAAAAAATTATAAAAAAATGAAACAATGTCAAATAATGACAATTATAAAAAAGATATCATAATTACTAAAAAATATATTGCTTTTGTTGAAAACACATTATTGATAATGTAAAAAATTATAAAAAAATGAAACTATGTCAAATAATGACAATTATAATGTCAGCATTAACACTTGTACAAAATTACTTTGCAAGTAACACTTGTACAAAAATTTTAAAAATGACATTGTGATAATGACAATGTCAATTTGAATGCTGCAAAAACATCGTGATTAGGGATGGATTCGGGTCGGGTCGGGCCCGGGCCGGGCCTAGGCCCGGTCGGGCCGCCGGTTCAAGAAAAGTGGGCCCGGGACCGGCCCGAGGGTTGGACGGGTCCGGTTCGGGCCGGGCCACCCGCCCGGGTCACGGGTCGGGTCCGGTTCGGGCCGGGCCGGTTAATTTTTTTTTTATAATTTATATTTTATAGTTTATGGTTTTATACGAGTATTAAAAACAAACTTCAATTGCATTTATTTGAAATTAAATAGGAACTACATTTGAAAATTAAAACAAACTTTAAGAGATAAACATTTTGAAAATTGTAATCAATCGGAACTTCCTGCACCTCCCGATCCTTTGGCTTTGTCACATGACTTCATATGCTTGATTGCCATCCCGAATCCGCCTGAAGCCCCCATGATACATTTTTTTTCGCACCATTTGCAAATTGCGTACCACATCCCGGTCTTCGGGTCCTTCTGCTTATCAAAATTATACCGTATAATGGCATTTTGATTTTCCATCTTAACTTCTTGGAGAAGAGAATTAGAGAGTAGAGAGTTAAGAATAGGATTTAGGAAGAATTGGAGAAGAGATATGAAAAAATGTTTAAGATTAGGAGTATTTATAGGTTTTTTTACCCCCCACCCCCCCCACCACCCCCCCACCACCCAACCCCCCCGGACCCCCCCGGACCCCCCCTTTACCCCACCCAACGGCTATATAGCCGTTTGGGTTGTCCCCAGCCCCACCCCCAACGGCTAGTAGGAGCCCAACCCAAATTTTTTTTTTTTAAAAAAAATTGGACCGGACCCGGGCTCGGGCCCGACCTGGCCGGGCCGGATCACAATAATGCTGAACCGAGCCCGCCCCGCCCCCCCCGGTTCGGGCCCATACCCAGTCCCGGACCGCCCGATCGGGCCGGTCCCGGACCGCCCGACCGGTCCGGTCCCGGGCCCGCACAGTACCGGGCCGGGCCGGGTCACGGACCGGGTGGTCCGAACCGAATCCATCCCTAATTGTGATGACATTGTCGAGAAGTAACATTGTTTTCGGTGATGCCATTGAGATATGTGACTTTCAAATTATTTTAAAAAAATTCAATGTTAGAAACTATCAGAATGTCGTAAAATTATCACAGTGTCAAATAATGAAACTGTCAATGCTATGAAAATGACATTGTAATATGACAATGACAATGCAACCAACAATGACATTTTATTAATGAGATTGTCAATGTCAAAATCCCATAAGAAATCCCATTATCCCATTACTAATTTCTTTCAAGCTTTGATAGAAGCTCTTCATTTCTTTCTGATTAATTCGAACTCCAAATCCCACCCACCCACTCAAGAGAGCACTCTCCGAGTGAGAAATCAAACCAGACGAAGTACAAATCAGATACGGCAGGTTACAGAGTCAATGTTTTCTGAAGACGATCAATGGTTGAAGAAGAAGACTGCAGACCACAGATGCTATGCGGATTCCTAATTTCTTAAAGCTCTGTTATTTGAGGGAAGAAGAGGAGGATAGGAGGAAGAGCGGATCTGCAACAACTTGGCCGGCGTCGACCGCACTTCGTCTTCCGTTCATCATATCTTCGTCGTCAGATTGAGTCTGCTGCCACCGCGCGACCCTCCCTTGTTCCGCCGAAGAGCTGCTCCTACCAGGGTCACTTATGTTAAGGATCATAGCAATTGGTTGCTTTAAGGGAAGATATACGGCGCTAGAGGATATTACAATACACTACGGCGGCGGTGAGGTGCGGCGGCGCAGCGGCTAGGTGCGGCCAAAGCAGTGACAAGGTGTAACAATGGCGGTGAGGTACAGCAGCAGCAGCGGTGTGTGACTGGACCGGAGCAAACACTCCGTATGTTCAGCTGCGGCTAAATACTCTGTAGATTGGCCTTGAGGCTATTTTTGTCCTTCTCCTTCAAAAGTAGTCCTACTTACGGATTAAAAAGTTCGAACTCCTATTTAGTTACATAAGCTTTGTTTTAGTCCTATTTAGGTCTTTATCCCTTGAGTTTTTAAACAATAATCATTGGTCAAATAAAATTAAAACATAAATGATGTGTAATAAAATAATCAAGGATTAATGCATTTAATTAAAAAAAATGTGTTGGGAGTGGATATATCGACGGTACTGGGTTGTAAAGAAAAACTGAATTGAGCGTGAGGATACACTTTAGTAGAACTAGTTGACCAGATGAATCCGCACATACTCAAATAAATAAATAAATTAATAACGCACGCATATATTCCAAAAAAACAAGTCAGATGCATACACTAAGACTGTAAATGGTTTACAGAGGTCGTGTATGATCATTAGCACTATAGATATTATGAATGTACTTCCCACGAAAAAAACAATGTCACTCAGTCAAATGACTCAACTCAACATAAACCTAACTCCATCCATCAAAGACCAATATGACTGCCTGCTTTTGCCTTCTCTTTATTTTCCCTGCATTGGCAAAGAACGGTGTAGGCATATTATATGCCTCAAAAAATTCCTGCTTTTTTTTCTTTTTTTGGGTTTTTGTTCCGATAACACTGGCAAGATTTTCTTTCAAATAATGGAATCCACCATCCACTTGCACTGAACTTTCTGTGGCAATTTTGTTGACCAACCTTGAACATGTCAAACACATAAACCAATTCCTTCTACAGCAAGTCCTTTTGAGATATGTCAACTGAAGCACTACGAGCCGCATGGGATTGAATCGCATGCTGCTTTTGCATCTCTTTAAACTTATCCATCAGTTCTTGGAACGTAGGACGACGTTGTGGCTCGCTGAATTGAAAAAATGTTTTAAAGGAAAAGAGTTGCATAGAAGCAAAAAAACAAGCTACAAGCTTGAACAGATACAAACCTATGCCAACAGCTTTCAATTATAGAAGCCCACTGTGGGTCCACATCCTTGGGAATATCTAGTCGTTGATTCATGAACCCTACTGCCCCAATTACCTTCATCAATTTTCCCCAACGTTTTAGTTTCATTACAATTCAATCACTTATAGTAACTTCTCGGCATTATAATCATGCAGAAGATGGATTGATAGATCATACCTGCATTGTGTTGAGGTTATCCCACGGGATCTTTTCGGTGGCAAGTTCCCACAAGATTACCCCAAAACTGTACACATCAGCCCTGCATCATTGTGAGGAAGACATTCTATAGAGTTCAAAATAGTCAATCAATATATCTGATTAATAGAAAAAGAACATCAAAACTGGCTGAGGGGTGACATACTTCTCATCTGAAGGCTCATTACGGAGAACCTCTGGAGCCATCCACTGAGGCTGAAAAGGGGAACAATTTGAGATAAATATAATTCATCAAGTTTACACAGAATGTTAAAAAAGGTTTATGAAAACGTAAAATAAAAACAGAATCGTGAATTCCAGTCAATACCGTTCCTTTACCCGTTTTTGTGGTCAGATATGTTTCATGTTTGAGCCTTGACAGTCCAAAGTCACCCACCTGTTCAGATAAGAAGCAAGAATATTGGTTTGGCAAGTCTGCTACAAAAACTCATCATGACATGAGAAAACAAAAACATACCTTCACAGTCCAGTTCTTGTCTACAAGAAGATTTGAAGATTTCAAATCGCGGTGAATAAGAGGTGGGTTAAGATGGTGGAGATAATTCATTCCTCGTGCCTGCAAACAGCAGCATAAAGAAATACATGATGTGTCTTATGAAATGAACTAGTATCATACTTTCAAGTTTCAATCAAATAACAAAAACATTTTAAGACATTAGCAGAAAATCGATTATTGAATGAAGTCTAAACGGAAACGCAAAAATGACAGAGACTGCTTCAGGGGTCAATTGGGACATGCACTGTGTTGATTACTATTACTTCAATAGCTTAAATTTTTCCAGTGTGGGGCAACATCAGGCCCTTATCCACCCCAAATTTGGTCCCATACAATTGTGTAAGAAGAAGGTTTAAAGCTTAAAAGAGTCTGTGTCACCCCAAATCTCATACAGTTTACCCCTTTGCTCATATACTTTAAGTAGTGACGGTGCAAAAATGTGTGAAGTTTGGTTGAAATAAAGATGTAAGATAAATTGAGCTAGTTGAAAAGTGCTAGTTTCATACATTCCCGAACAATGGCTGAGCTACTGCAGATGAAGGAAAATGAAGTTCGAAAACAGGGTATACAAGAACTGAAGAACATTCCATAGTTGAAATTGTAGGAAATATCTTCCAAGACTTGAATAATGGTGACTCATCCAAAGAAATAATAAACCATACAATGATGATAATGACAACAATCATTTAATTTGACATTAGATATTCCTAGATGGGGGAAATTATTAAATAAGGGAAATGCTAATGTTCAGATGAGAATAATCTTCCAGATAAGATCTCTGTAATAGAGCAGCCACCGTAGATTTGCACAAGAAATGTTTGCTTTCCATATCTGATTGGAGTTAATGCTCATGGTTTAGCTGTGTGAAAATGACACTTCCCTGACTTTTATAGTCTGTATTTTGTTTGCTTAAGGGAGTGTTGTGGGAAAAACTTATCACTAGGCCCTCTGCATCAATTTATAGTGTTTAAACAATTTTAGACAATTAATTGACACTAAATCGACACTAAATTATGATAATTATGATGATGATAAGAATGTTGAAACCATAACTATTTCCAACCCGAAGTATGCAACAGAACTGAAGTGTACTCACTATATCTAATGCCATGTGGACACGCCTCCTCCAATCCAATCTGGATATATTCCTCTGAAGTAACCTAAATAAACTTCCTCTTCATACATAAAAACATAATTCTACTTGTTAGTCAGGGAACATTCAAATATCCATTGTATAAGAGAGGCTAAGAAAAAGAATTAAATGAGAGGGTTGGGGCGGATAGGAAATCGATGATTGACCTTGGGAGGAACTCAGTAACAATGCAGAGACGTTCAGGAGAAGTTACTGCACCCATGAAAAGTAGAACATTTGGATGGCGAAGTCTTTTCATAAGTGAGACCTTCAGAAAAACCACACAAGATAAGTTAGTAGATGCTCCCCCACCCAGTACCCAACTAGGAAATTGGAATGGTCAAACTTTTGAATCGAAAGGGAGATCTATTTGGTATATGCAAGTTCCATAAGCATAAAAATTAGGTCAAAACTAATTTTCTCAGCAACTTAAAACTCGTCAGTAGATGTTCATTTTTTATACATAAATGTGTGCTTTGATGGGTGATATTTTCCAGCTACATTAGCCAAACACCGAAAGAACACTATAGTGACAGCACATAGATTCAGCCTGGAAACTTTATGATACAATGATAGCAATATCTCATAATTCATGAGTAGCATACCATGAAATAAATGAATAACAAATACACTCACCTCTTGTCTGAAGGAAAAAATAACATCATCAGAATATTCTTGCTTGGAGAATACTTTAACAGCAACATCCTGAAAAGCACATACACCATTTTACTACAAAAGAGGATCTCACCATACTTTTTCCCTTTTTCCTATTGAGTGCAATAATGACACTAAATGAAACAGTAAAAAACACAAAAATAAGTTTGATGCCTTAAGTGCCTCAAGAAACTAGGCAAATTATGAAATGCATCAAACCCCCAAGCATAGTAACTATAAACCATAAGCTCTTTAGTGAAATACCCTAAATAGTTCGATCTCATTTTCCCAATTCATCATAATCTACATATATCTATCTTCTTGATGCTCTAACTACTTGACAAATATGGGTATCCCAATTCAGTGGATAGAAAGTTTTTCTACACAGTTTCTCAGTAATAAACTAATAATTATATATTTCAAGGAGGAGTCAAAAGAACATACTGATCCATACCACAGAGCATGATAAACATTCCCACATGAGCCTGGGAGGAGATTGAGGGAAATGTTAGAACAAGAAGTAAAATATATTGTTGGGGTAAAAGATTAGCATATGAATGATAAGAACATGGAAACTCTGTTTAATCAGTGACATATTCCTTAAATATGATCAATATCACTTTGTTATTGAAGATCAAAGAGAGCATCCAATAGAATGTGGAATGGTTAAATGTTATTCTGTTATTATTACCATTTGCTTGGTTAGTTCCATTGCAAAAGAACACTACCGCAAGAATAGATGACAATCTGACATGAACTAACATTGTGCTAGTATTATTTCTTGGTAAATCAGAAAGGATGGAGTAATATATTTTGGCAATAAGATGTGGTTTGGAAGGAGAAATATTCCGATAAGAACATGATAAAAAAGATGGTTCGATACCTTGGCCAATATGATCCCCAATAGTTAAATCATCCCATAAGATCTCATAGTCCAAGCAGTCAGCATCCATGTCAACTTTGTTAACAGCACTACTGCCAGTACTTCCAACACTACTTGCACTGCTTGTGCTATTAACATTAAAAGATGATGACCATGATCCCGAAGCTTCATTCATCGTAGTGTGATTAGCATCATAAACTTGACTTTCCGGCTTCATTGTTTCCATACTAGTGTTTCTTTTACACAGAGTGTCATCGCTGTCTTGGTCATTATGCGACCAGGGCCAGCTGAAACGAGTGTTTCGTGTCTCAGATCCTTCTTGTTCATTTGCTTTCCACGGCCATGATAAAGTCTTCTTTTGAATCCATGCTTCCGCCTTTGAGGTAATCATCTGGGAGATCCCAGGTTTACCCTCACTCTCATCCCCAGAATCTCTGGAGTATCTCCCATAGCAGTCCTCTTTGGCAACATTAGAGAACACTCCAAAAGGAGAATGATGTATATATCCCCTCGGAGTACTGGCACCACTAGAAGTTGCATCCTCTGGATGATCATCGGGGGAAACATGATCAGAATGATGACTATCTCCACTTCCACCTTCACGAATCACACATCTCTCTGAACTTTTCATTTTTGACTTCACCTTGTTGCTCACTCTTGAAGCCTATTTGAGTTCAACACATCAATATACACATATGTGTTGAGATAAAAGGATAAAAGAACTATTGATAGTTAAACAATATTGCCTCCATCCCAAACAAAGAGTCCTGTTTGAAACACTTTTTTTTTTAATAAAAGAGTCCACGTAGTTATATTACTTATACATGATAAATTTAGTTGAACCAACAAATAAAATAAAAAATAGGTACGATTCATGATGATTTATGAGAGTTTTACCTTAACAAAATTACAAAGTTGCACATTGGTCAAACATGACTTTTGTTAAAAATAAGGTTATTATAGGGATAACTAACCAAATTAGATAGTTTTGAGGCAATTGCAACTTGCAGAGGCTGTTGAGGATCAAGCCCGAGCTTGGACGAAGCAATGCTCCTTGTCCTACCAGAACTTGAGTCAAAACTTATCCGCTTTGTTCCCATGAATGCAGCCTTGGTTTCTTGCAATGGCCTTAAATCAGTAGATACACATATCAGTCCAATTGCAGTACCATCATCATCGTAGAAAGGGGTATTGGTAACAACAACAGAAAATCTAATCCCCAGCTTATTCTTGACTGGGAACTGTCCAGTCCAACTCTCCCCAGCAACTACACGTCTAAGAATATCATTAGCAAAATCCAAATCTGGAGAATCCACTAAGAGGTCCATTATACTTTGCCCCAGAGCTTCTGCAGCAGAATAACCATACATGTGCTCAGCCATCCTGTTCCTGTACAAGAAATGTATCCAATTTTTCAAAATCCAAGTAAAAACATAGTTCTAAGATTTTAGTCCTACACAGGAATGTCCTAAGCTGTTCTAAATTATATGCTAGCATTTAATTAAAATAAACGAGTTCAATGGTGTTAATTCTATAAAAAAACAGAATAGGAAAGAATTGTAAGTGACTCGCCAGTAAATAATTCGAGCACTAGGATCAATTATATGCACCGCTTGGCCCATCGACTGCAATATGTTCAAATAATGTCTATCACTAAATTTCACAGAGGCTGGACCTCTGACGCCACAGCTTTCGCCTCCGTCACCGTCATAGGCTACAAGCTCAGCTTTACTACTGCTCTCTCTCTGCAGGGGAGAAGCATGTCGGAATGAGGCAGACCCCCTTCTCCACACAGCATTAGCGCCACCTTCTAATCCGCCGTGCCTTCCGCTGCCAGAAGGTCTGACCCGCCGCGGCCGTTGCGGAGAGATAGAGTGAGACCTTTGTCTCTCTGATCTGTACTCTTTCGAAATCACGAGCTTCGTCATCTCCTGTTTCAAGCGCGCATGCCCCGCCTCCAGCTCCTGGATCTTCTTTAGCAGCTCCTCCGCCGGCGGAACCTGTGGAGGCGCGCCGGCTGAGGCTGTTGTATTCTCCATTGCAGACTTCGCAGTTCAGCTTGAATAGGAAAAAGAGGAGCAAATCAAAACCCCAGCGAACTAATGTTCTATATATCCAAGTTGACTAGCTTCTCTCTCCCTCACCACATACACTTGCCTAAGAATCGATTCAATGGATCAATAGCTACTGCCAATTGCGGCCTTGAAATATATACGCGTATGAATGAACTACGAACAAAACCGTCGCTATAATGAAGGAGCTGCGAGCTAAAGAAGCCGCCTTTTTGTACTGTGTTTCTTATCTCACTGCTCTTTATTCTCTCTATCTCTATCTATCTTTCTCTCTTCTCGTTCTGGATCATTTCATTGGTCTTCTCTTTCTACAATTTTCAACTGCACGGAGAATTACTTCAATTAATAGCGGTTATGACCGCCAAAATGCTTTGATCACTCACTGCGGCGGCGCGTGTATTGGCGACTTTGGTTAATGATGATGACAATTTGGGGACAGGCGACTTTCTAGTTTCCACCTAATTTGTACAGTAATGTTTTTGATATACTTCCCAAATAGCCATTTTGCTTAGTTTAAATTCCAATAAATAGGATTTTTTACTTTGTGTTCTGACAAAAAGACATACTCCCTCCGTCCCGTTGAAATGTTCCCGTTCGGTTTACGATACTTGACTGACGATAAAGCAACTCGATCCTTGTTCACACTCCGCTTATTTTTAGTAAATAAAATTTACATATTCAGAAACTACATTAAACCCGCTACAAAGCCTAATCAAGAAAGTTCAATTTGATAAAAAATTGATATATAAAGTAAAAGATTAAAAGTGACCTAAATTGATATATACACTAATGTTCGTTCTTTAATTCTTGCAACAATTTAACTTTCACATTTGGCAACGCACAACTTTGACTGTAATTATATTTAATTATGTATTGGTAAACATTATAAAAATTTGATATTTTGGAAATTCACATTGATAGGAATTTAATAACATTTTATACGTAATAATTTGATTATGTATATTTGTAGAAAATCATAGTCAAAGTAAGGTCTGTGAATAATGCACAAATCACAAAGATGCAAGAATTAAAGAATGGAGGAAGTATTTTTTTATATAAAATCCAGGTGTCGGGGCTTACGCTCCCACAATCCCGAAGTCTATGAACTACCCTCCAAAGCCCCTAGACAATTAAATCTAGATCTGATCACAGTCAGCCTCGTCACTACTGGCTCCAAAGGACGAATCCAACATGATTTACATCACCTTTCAGGCTGCTCCTCTCACCACACGAACCCGCTACCTTCATTACCAACCTTTCCCTTCTCAGCCGCTGAGCAACTCCGTGAAGGTAGGAAGAATCATTGGGAGCAAAACCCCCCTCATCTTCTCTCGGTGGGAAGAACTCAAGACCTCCCACAAAGGAGAGACTTGGGGTGGACTTTTATAGGATTGAACCTACTGTCCGTCGGACCGCATGGCGCCGGAGTTCGTTGTCGTCTTGGAGTTCGTTGTCATTACCAACGAACTGACTTTAATTATGCAAGAGAATTAGGAGACATATAATTATACTATTTCCGTCCAACTAAAATAGACTCAACTTTCATTTCCGGCCCATTAAGATTGCTTCACATGAAATTTGATAAATTTCATGTAATTCTAAATCATTTTTACTTTATTAGTACTTTATCAATTTAAAGACCGTTTGGTAACACTGTTTTTCGACTTATCGGTCTCATCAGCCAACTTTTTCACCAAACATGTAACGTTTGTTTTCGCAAGCAAGAAAAGTAAGGTTGGAGTTTCTTTTCTGGCTGTATTTTTACATATAATTTTTTCTTTATTTTATTAATAAAATATATTTTAAAAATAATTTTTTCCATAAATCAGCAGAATCAACCAATGCAGCCACTTCAACCAGAATTTTATAAATTTCAGCATAATCAGATGAATCAGCCGATTTTTATATTACCAAACGGGTTCTTAATATCAACCGCTTATGTTCACTTTTCTTAATAAGTGTACCACATTCTCATATTCCAATGTTTATGAAACAGAGGTAGTATTAGCCTATTAAGTTAAATAAATTAAGAATAAAATGTACTATTTAAAGAAAACTAAATATATAATTATATTCTCGAAAGAATGTTATATTTTTGTGTTATCATGAGCATTTTTTATCTATAAAAAAACGTAAGGAGCAGATAACATGTACCGATAAGGTACAGACTGTCTTTGCCTCATACTAGTAATAATAACATATTAAAATCATTTTAATGCGTCAATATTTTTCGAAGTGATCGTATTTCATCCACTTGGGAGTTGGAAACAAAAAAATTAGAACCGCCAATTGACTTCCTCCTTCTTTGTAATAAAAAACGCAATTTGATTGTGAATTTGTAATTCTTTCTTCTATAATATAATTTTCTTTTGATTTAAAAATGAATATGGGAGTCACTAACTTTAATTGAATGCTCTTTCACAAAGAATCTTTAATTGAATGCCGTGAAATTAGATACTCCCTCCGTCCCTAAATTATCTTCAAACTTTCCTTTTTCGTTCGTCCCAAAATTATCTCCTCTTCCCCCTTTTAGCAAAAAGTTTGTGGTTCACAACCATTCTTACACATTCTTACACATTTCTCTCTCCTCTGCACAACTCTCCACCACACAAATCCCATTATCTTAATAAATGTGCCCAGCCGAAAAGGGAGAAAGATTAGGGACAGAGGGAGTATTTGTTTGATACTCCTTATAAGACATTAGTACATCCGTCTCGCTAATATTGTCTCATTTTTCTTTTTCAGTAAATAACAATAAAATTGTTTCATATATTCATACCAAATTTAATAAAATTTGTATGTCTCTAAATTGTTTTTACTTTATTCTTAGTTTATCAATTCAATATCAACTACATAAATCCATTTTTCTTTATAATCGTGTTACTCCAACATGTTTAAATGTTAGTGAACCAAGGTAATATTTGAAGGTATAAAAAGCGCTCTCTCTAGTGGGTACGCAGGACGCACATAATCCTGGAACACAAAATTTAAGAAAATGGGGTAAACTTCCCCAATTAATCTCTTGAATAAAGTTTCTACGTCCAAAAAAGTTGAGTAACCCATAATAATAAAGGTATGTTTGGCTCAAACTAGCTGAAAAGATAATTTTATGAGCTTTTTAGTAACTGTTAGCTTTTAGTGAATAAAAAGATTTCAAAAAGAAAAGGCAATACTTGTTTGTTAAAAAGCTGACTGTTTGATTTAGCTCTGTTTGGTATACAATCTATTAAGACTAATTAATAGTAAAAGCTACTGACTTATCTGAGATGCTACTCACTGTAGCATCTCAAAAAATATCTTTTATTTTTATAAAAACTCTTAAAAATTGGCATTCAAATATAGAACTAGAAGCTTTTAAAGACTTTTTAAATAATACAAAAGCTAGAAGACAGGGATTCATGTCTGGCAAACATAGACTAAGACTAAAATGGACACTATGTCACTTGAAAAGGGGAATGATTATAACCATTTGCACTTTGAAACATCTTGTAGTCAATTAGAATGTCCAACTTACCATTTTGGAATGTCCAAAAAAATCTTCTCATTTTCCTTCTTGGAATGTTTTGTGTGGCTAATTATATTCATTTACCTTTTTCATACTCAACCATAACCATACAGTTTCACTTTATTTTCAGTTTCTTAATGAGCGTGTCAAGTAAAATTGGAGAATATTTTTTGGGGCGAAAGCAGTACTTATTAGTTGTATGGAGCATTTGTCATCATCCAACCGGATCACGAGTCAAGCCAAACTCAGAGGGACAATCTTACCAAAACTAGATTAAATCGGTCACCATTAATAATAACAAAAATTACTCATTCCATCTCAAATTGATATACAAATGCAACACTTTTTCATCGACCAATATTAAAGTTAAATTATCTCTATTGATAACTTATATAGTTAGAAACTACATTAAAATCATTGTAAAATTATAAACTCCGATCCAAAGCCGTGTATAATTAAAAATGGATATCCTGAATCAATTAAAACTGCATAATTGATGGGAAAAAATTGCCTTTCCAAATGAGATGAACGGAGTATATAATACTCAGTATAATTTTACATCAAATTGAAGTAAATTGAAGTTAAGCATGTGAAAATTTGAAGGACATATGTGTTTCATTTATGAAGTCATATAAACAAAATTAGAATCTATTATGATTCCTTATAAGCAATTAAGCACTCCGAGTTGGATCGCTATACGATTTATTATACTATTTGCTTATTTATTTTTTGCTTTTTTAAAAAAATGATTATATGACTTTCTTTCTAAATAAAATGAAATATACAGATACTTCACAATTCTTATTTTTTATAAAGTTTATTAATTTTCCTTGATTGAATATGATTGGATAAAAAATTACTCCCTTCGTCCCGTTGGAATGTTCTCGTTTTCCTTTTTTGGATGTCCCGTTGGAAAGTTCTTATTTCCTTAAATGGAAAGTTATCCTACATCAAAACATGGTCAAACAGTGCAAAACAGTATCAAACAGTGTCGAAACAGTGCCAAACAATGTCGAAATAATGTCGAAACAGTAAAATTTACCCCCTGATGAATTTATTTCCTTGATATGTTTGTAGGTCAAACCGGGAACATTCCGACAGGACGAATGGATTACAACAAAAGCGATTCGAATCCAATTTTTCTCAAGTTACGGATTGACTCGTCTACATCCAGACATACTACAACCAAGTTTTTTGGGTCGGGTTGATACTTACGGATTCAATAGATTGGATTTTGCCATTTTGGGATGGGACAACTTACTCCGGCCACTCTCCTAAAATACTCCAAATTTTAAAGGAATCTGAGCTAAACAGTTACGGAGTATATAAACAGTGATTTTAACACTATCATCATGTATTATTTCTTTCAAAAATGTAAATTTTCTGTATGAGTTTCATAATTTAAAATATTTTAGCATTCATGACGATACAATTAACATTTTAAACTTTCATCGTAAAATAAATAATACTACCCACACTCTATATAATTGCATCATTTTTAATTTGCTATTTAAATTATGAAATTAACACAGAAAATTAAGATTTTTGAAAGAAAAAAATAATACATGATCATGATGTTATAATAACTTTTTATATAATAAAGTTTGAGGTATTTAAATTACATATGCAAGTTTGGGGTATTTAAATTACATATGCAAGTTGTGATATTTTAATTATTTTTCCCTAATTTAAAACAAAAACACACACTATAATAGGTTATAAGTGCACAAAAAGAAACTTAATGACATATACTTAATAATATTCTACTCTGTATAAAGAATAAACTCAAACTAATTTCCTCTAATCATGTGGGCGATTCAAGAATCCAAATTAACGTGGGCTGTCAACAAAAATGATGATATTTTGGGGTTTTGTTTCTTTTTCTTCTAGGTGAAGGACCGCCACAACTGGTCATGAAAGTGGGCCCCACCTTCCTCTTTTTTCAATAAAAAACGCGAGATGCCTTTTTTAAAGTTATAAACAAACGACTTCAATCCACAATTTTGTACAGCATACACCCAAGTTGCCAAGTTGCCAAGTTGCCATAGTATCTATCTGATTTATTTCTTCATTTCTTTTTATATTTTTGCTGTTCTTCTTTGTTTGTTTTGCTTGGTCCAAAAGGTGGAATCTCCCACCCCAGGAGCTCCCCATACCCCGACCCGACAGGATTTTTGGGAGGATGTTAATCACGGTGACTCAGTCGATCCAATGATGGTAGACTTTTTTCCTGTACGCACCAGAGGCTCAGCCTTATTTCAGGTTCTGTGACCTCCACACGGCCGCTGCGGGTTTCGAACCTTGGTCACTTGGTCCAAATTTCCCACCACTGGACCAACTGAGCTGGCCGTGCAAGTTTTGTTTCTTTTGCTAATCATACGCAATTATTTAATAATTATCGATGAATTAGTAATGCTTTATCTTAAAGTTTACTAATGTTCCTGCCAACAAAAGACTGGGAATCTTGGTATACGCATTCTTGTTTATTTTCAAGTGATTTGGTCTTTTCTTATATCCTTTTCCAAAACAGCCTCTCATTTTCTTAATAAAAAAATGTTGGCCAACACTAACTTGTGAGTTGTGACTTTCTATTCACAACAAACAATAGTGTGCATGTAGTAGACCTCTTCACCATTTCTGATTAAAACGGAATCGGAACCACCGGTTTTTTTAACCTAATCATACTTCCGGTTTGAAAGACGAGGTTTGTTATCTGTTGAAGGAAATTCTATGTAGTGTGCTATCATGTATATAGAATATGTATTAGGGTCATCTGATGTAAACTTTGTATCATGGGCCTATTGACCCGTTCTTGTAAACCCTAATAACTCCCTATATATAGGGCATTCAGTAATGAAACTTGATGAACTATTCTCCCTACAACACGTTATCAGCACGTAACCTAGGTCTATTTTTCACCCTGCGCATCAACCCTTCTCCAGCCCGCCACAGCAAGGCTGCGCCAACCCTCACCGCCAAAGCAAGGCTGCGCCAGCCCTCCCTCCGCCGCATCACAGTAGCAATCTTGCTCCGCCGCAGACATTCATCCCTCCTCTGCCGCAGCATGGTAGCAGACATTCAACCTTTCTCCAGCCACAACACAGTAGCAATATTTGAGGTGTTTTTTTAACTCAAAATCTCTGCAGAATCTTATGTATATGATTTATTGCATTATGTTTGCCATTGTGTTAAACATCATTGATTTTTTTGAGATTAAGTTATCATTTTTTATATCTATTTATTGCACATCAAGTGTTTGATTTTATGCCTCATTCATTTTTTTTGGAGATAGATGCATTTTTTTATTATAATTTCGTAATGCTATATGTTATATTCATATAGTTGGAATCAATATCATATTACGCATCCTCCTTCCTTGTTAGATATCCATGTGATCATACTTTTCCATAAAGTTATATGCCATATACATATAGTTGGAATCAAAGATCACACCAATTAATCTTATTTTCATGCATTTTATATAATTATACTTTCCGTAAAGCTATATGTTAAATACATATAGTTGGAATTAAGATCTATTATGCATTTTTTAATTATTTTATACATATTATGTAATTATATTTTTCCGTAATGCTATATGTCACTTACATATAGTTGGAACCATAATCACGTAATATTACTATATTTTCTGCTCATATATTATCTCTAGGGCGAAATGTATGTCTAATTTTCCGTAAATCTATATGTTATACTCATATAGGTGAAATTCATGTAGTCCTATTTTTAAACATTTCTTTTTAGAATACACTGACATGTTTGTATTTCTGTAATTCTATATGTCATATACATATAGTTGGAATAACAATCATGCACTCATATTGAATTTCTTTTCTCAATTAGTCGTGAGATAAAGAAATTTCACAAACATAAACATCACGGATGCACTCATGATTTGTCATTTGCCTACCCATTTCAACTTAAATTAAAGTTACGTTGATATTCTAGTCTCAAAAGGACTTGAGTACTATTATTAAAATTTTAACATTAGTCCATCTATCACATCCAATTTCCTCCATTAATTATTTGTGTTATAATAAAGAATTTTCATACAAAGACTTACAAATTTAATTGACAATTCATACAAGTGCATATCACCATATGATATAATGTGTCTTTGTTTTTTAAAAAAGTGATGATCGATCAATTTGATCGGATTTTGACATTTTGGACTCAAATGGACTCAATTACATATTTTGACTTTTATGACTAAATTCTACTGATTGAGTATATTCCCATATACCCCAGGGGTATCATAATCGTCGTCATTCACTTTATGGATCCGCCAAGGAGCATGAAAAAACTAACTCCACATCTGGGACCGACCCTTACCCCGACCGCCTATGTCAGGGAAATACCAAGCTCACGAATCAATCAGACTTAGCAAATAATGAGGCCAGCCGAGCCCGACCCCAACCCCCCGAGGCCGGGAAAACACCAGGCTCGGGAATCATCCAAACTCCACAAATTATGAGCCCGAACTTGAAGGCTCCGAGCTCGACACCAGTCCTGACCTCAGGCGTCAGCACAAGGACAGTCAGAGTCAAGCAACAGAGTCAACGATCACGAAGACAGGACCTAAGACAGAAAGCGAATTCCCTCACGATGAGCCCGAGTCTCCAAACACTGACCTCAATGGGATCGAGGTCAGATCAAAGCTTTATGGACTTAGACAAATCCGCAAGGACCAGCATCACGAAGAGACGTGGCCACGTCACTCCTAGCACCAGGAAATATTCCCGATTGCCCACGCGTAGCCACACGAGTATTCTGGTAGCAATTCTGTTAGGAGCAGTTCCAATCAGCCAGCTATCCAAGACTATCTCTCCAATCAACTTTACACGTGGTTGCTCCCTACTAATTTAGACTGTTAGTTTGTTAGAATAGATTGGACACATGTCCTTCTCTCATTAGATCAACATCTTTTTACTTCGGCACCAAGTATTGCCTTTTTCTGTTAGTATAAATATCACCTTCCAGCTTGTGGAAAAGGATCACAATCTGAATTCTCATACTGTTACTCTGTCGGATTATACCTTTACTTTCCGATCAGTTCTCTCTCTCATTTTACTTGGATTCTGACTACCCTTAGTCCGGCGATCCATCATTTTTTAGTGCTCTCATTGAGAGTTGAACTGTCAATCAAGTCAGATCCTCCCACTTTTTACTAGATCTACAGTAACCTCTCTTCCTTAACAATGGATGGAAAGAGAATCGTGAGAAATCGACGTGCTGATGTCTTCGTTGCTCAAGCTAAGCCCTCGCTAGAAGCTACTGCTACTTCTGGCGCCAGGAGGACCACTAGGGGGAAGCAAGTCATTGAGGCTTCCGCTGATCTGCGTAGCCAGATCCAGCGCACTTCCCCAGATCTCCGTCAACAGATCTCACTGAATCGTAATGCAGCGACATAGCCGTCCGCGCAGGTGATCCCACAATTCCATAGTCTTCTGATGGTGGATCCCTCTGCGGCGGTCGATCGACACCCTCATCTCAGGATTGCAGCAGGCGCTTCCTACGTTGCGATCCCAGGCAGCAACTAATGTGGCTCCTCACGCCACCAGGCTCGTCTCACCGGCGAATTCCAGATCCCGGTCTCTAAGGGTGGGCAGTATTGATGCCCCTCTGGTTGTGGAGAGACCAGCCTTGATGGTCTATCAATCTCCCCCTCGCCAGAGGGCCACCCCGGGGATCAACTCTCCCCCTCACCAGGTGGCTTCTGGAGCACCTATGGGCGTTGTACCCCTGGCACAACAGGCGGGAACTTCTTGTCCCGCCGCGGCACAACAGAGGATGGTGCCACCACCACCTCCCACATTGCCGTCAAAATACACGGTACGCCGGGTTGACTACGGTTGCCACAACGATGAATGCGTTTATGTCGTCACCACCGAGGACTCCTCACAGTCCTTCTCCCCTCAGGGGCAACGACAGGACGATAACCCCAATCCCTGGGTGGAAGTGGGAAGGCATCCCATCTTCTCCAGATTGGGGGACAGATCTATGGCGAATTAGCGCCTATCTGTCAACATCCGAGGGATTAACCGGGCGAATTCCCCAGTTCTCAACATCCCCCGGCAACAACAACAGCAACAGCAACAGCCTAGGAGAAGGACTCCAGAGCGTGTACCCGCTTTGGAGAGGCTAGGGGCAATCATCCCCCCAGATTCACCCCCCCATGCCACCAGCAGATGCCTTCTTCCCCAAGGCAGCAACACGCTTCTCCACCGCGCCAACAACAGCCCCTGCGCCAACCAAGGCTTTCACTGCCAAGGCGGCAGGTTGAATCTCCACCACAACGCCAATGCCAGGTGGATCCCAGGGAGGAACAGATCCGCCTCCTTGCACAACAGTTCAATGAGCTGTGGACTGCAGCAGTCACAGCAGTACCACCACCACCTCCCCAACACACGTCACGTGACGCCCAACTGGAAGCACTGGCACTCCAGGTCCAGCAGCTACAGGCTCAAGTCAACCATGAGCCTGTCACGGTGAGGGTAAGAACTGCTACCCCCTTCACCACCCGGATCATGCAGGCCCCTATACCCCCATAGTATAAGGGGCCCAACATTCAACTCTATGGGGGTGAATCTGATCCCCAGGAGCATTATACTCGCTACCAGTCCAGCGTGTATATGTTGGGCGCTAGTGACGAGTACATATGCAGGATGTTTCCCTCTACTTTAGAGGGGGAGACATATGATTGGTTTAATGACCTGCCTGATGAGTCCATTGATTCATGGAGGGAGCTGGTCACGCGCTTCCTCACCCACTTTGCCGCAAGGGCAAAAACAAAGAGGCACTTCTCCTACTTGTTGTCTGTCAAGAAGGGCAGGGATGAACCGCTAAGCTAGTTCCTTGAGCGATGGAACGAGGAGACCTCCAAGGTCTACGGGGCGGACGACAACACCTGCCTGTCCATGCTGCAGGAGGTCCTATGGTCCGGAGCCTTCTCTAGGAGCCTTATCATAGATCCCTCACGGGATTATCAGCGGGCGCTCCATCGCGGGCAAAACTATGCCTTAGTGGAGGAAGTGCACAGCCGCAAGAGAGAGCAGGAAAATGTTGTGAAGCCCCCCAAGCAGGAGCACAAACAACAGGAAAAGCCAAAGCAACCGCGGGAGGAGAAACCCCGCGATGACAGCGACAAAAACCGGAACAGGGGCAACTTCAGAAGCAGACACCCCTGGACTGGCCCCAAGCTTATGGCACCTGAGGTCCTGAACGCCACTAACCCACTCTGTCAGCCACATTCTGGAGGCCGTTGATCAGGAGGGGCTGGTGGTCCGGGACCCACACATCAACGAAATCCAGTCGGGGGGCAAATCAGGCCCCTACTGCAAGTTTCACATGTTTCATGACCACACAACAGATGAATGCCATACGCTGAAGCTGGAAATTGAGAAATTGATCAGTCGAGGCTACCTGACATGGTTTGTCCGGAAGCCAGAATCCGGCCAGAAGCGTGGTCATGAGCGCAGATCAAGGGATGAGGAATGGGAACCAGACCGTTCCCTCAGGAAGAAGGACATTGGATTGATCTCCGAGGATGATTCGGCCGAGGATAACAGGCGTAATCAGAGACACCGACATGAGGTCCGAATGATCGTCGGAGGAAACACAGATGGTGACACCGCTTCGCAAAGGAAGAAATGGAACAATAAGATCTACGTGGGGGAGATCACAAACCCCCCACCCACTGCCAAGAGAGCAAGGACGGATGTGATCTCGTTCACTGGCTGCGATCTGTCGGACTACCCTTCCCCTCACAGGGATGCTCTGGTGGCGAAGTGTGAGGTGGACGCGGCCATCATCCACCACGCTTATGTTGATACTGGTTCTTCTGTCAACATCATGTACATTCAGACATTCCATGAGCTGGATCTCCACCTCAACTCTCTGAGGCCCATCCGAACTCCCCTCTCCGGATTTACCAGTGACTCCATAGACACCGAGGGCACTATTGAGCTCACCCTTAGATTCGGGGACGGATCTCACCACTCCAAGATCCCTGTGGAGTTCGTGGTGGTGCGACTCGAGTGTGCTCACAACGTCATACTTGGAAGGCCAACATTGGAGGACTTGGAGGCAGTAATCTCTATGCGGCATCTCTGTATGAAATTCCCGACTGAGTCCGGAGTCGGGTACTGCAGAGGAAGCCAGGAAATAGCCTGATCCTGTTATATGAAGATGACCAAATGGATGGCTGCCAGAGACATGCACATCAATACCATTTCTCAGGCTGCCCTTCAAGAGGAAACTCCCAGAGCCGAGCCCGTGGATACACTGGAAACAGTTATCCTGGATCAGGCCAATCCAGAAAGAGCTGTTCAGATCGGGACAAATCTGAAGCCAAGACTGAGGCAAGCAATAATCTCTGTTCTTGTTAAATACAAGGTCATTTTCGCCCTAGGCCCTGATGAGATGACGGGGATAAGTCGTGACATAATCACGCACAAGAGATCGGGCCAGGTACTAGTTAATTTTGGGCTGGCCCATAAGTAAGTATAAATAGAAGAGAGGCTGTTTAGACTTTGTCTTAGACTGAGAAGTTAGAGCTCTGTCTCTTTCTTTTGGGGAGCTTCGGCTCATCTGGGTGCTTCGGCCATTTGTTACTATTACTGTTCATCTTCTCTAATGAAGTTCAGTTTGATTTCTTGATCTCTTTATGTAATTGTTCTGGATTCTTGGAGGTCTCTAACAATTTTATTGCTGTCATCCCCACTAACATGTATTGGAGTTTTAGATATTCTGATTTGATTGTGTAACCCGGAATCCCTCTCCTAAATCAAGTAAAACAAATGCCCCATAGTATATTTCTTTTCTCCACTAAACAAAAGCACACTGGCCTTGACTTTTTCAATGTCTATGATCCATAATTACAAATGAAGATAATTGAGAAACTACATCTGCATAAATTAATAGATATAATAACCAATAAGAATGCCTTTATTTGAGCTAAAATTTTCCTTGTCTGTGTTAATCTGATTTATTTAGAACTGATACGAAAGACATGTTTATGTGCATTTTACTATTTTAGTAGTATGATAATTAACTCTAGTCTATCAAGTTTTAGAGTGAAATAAATCCAATTGAAAACTCCTAAATGTAATTCAAAAATCCTTAATATGAAATGTGATAAAATTAAGAGAAATTCTAGCAATGGATATTGTGCCTTTTCCATGTGGATCAATTAGAATAATAGAATTGAGTAGTTCAAATATAAAGAAATGATTAAATAATAAGTTGGAGAAACAAATTGCATTAAACAAAAGTGAGGCATTTTAGTAAAAACAAGAACATGTTTTCTGTTTTCCTAATTCTGATCTTCTGGGAAACAAAAACTTCTAATTAGTAAACGACCCTTCATATATTTCCAATCTGTAGGTCCAAACAACACGTGAAGCCAAACTCTCATATATTGTAATAGAACTGACCAATCCATGAATAATTGTTAATGAATATAAAAGTTTATAAAATCAAGGAGTCATGTAGCACTTTGCGTACACATTTCCTATGAAAATTGGAAAATACATACAGAAGAGAAACAAACCGCCTGCCATCGACCGGAACCAGAGTACAAGTCACCCCCTCAAATTCATTGACCAAAGCCTACTAGAAGCACATTGAACAAATTGATTTTTCTTTCTGGGATTTTTCACCACAGACCAAATCAGAATCCTGGAGGTTCAGAATGAGTCTTTGAAAAAAGCTAGTGGAGTATCATAAAACAACATTGCTCAGACCAGAAATCTCCATATTCTGGGTTGGAAGTTTCAATATGGGAGAGGCAAACACTACAAGTTTGATTAGTGTGATTAGATCACCTTGGGAGCCAGGGGGTGGAACTCTTGCATGAGGAAAAACCCCTTTGGTTCCAAATATTCTTCAATGGATTGGAGTGTGATTAGCTAGTAATACTCATGGCAGCTCTCGTAGGTGCAGCCGAGGGAAGCTCAAGGATGATGAGGAAATAACACCTTTCTGATTCTCTGATATATTGGACTTCCCCATTCATCACCTTTAATACTTTCCGGCTCATGCTCAGCCCTAACCCTTCTTGAGTCACCCATCTGCTGCTGTGGAACATGTCTTGCACTAATTCTGGAGGAAGACCTTCGCCTGGGCACATTATCCTTTTTCCCAAACAATGTAACAAATTATCAACTCTCTTTGTCCATAATTATTTACATGCTTTTATGATTCATCTGTCTAAATTATTACCTATTTGCTTTCAAGGAAAATAGTATGTGGTCCATAATATTTTTCTTTCTTCTAAATAAATTTTAATCACAGTGTTTCTTAAACCTCAAGCATGTAACTTTAAGCAGATCGTAGTGGACAATAGTGTTGGGCCCGAGGGAGTAGTATTGTAGTAACTAGTAAGAACACATCTCCGTTTAGAAGTAATAAAAGTAAAAAATAAAAACGCAACATGCCTACATACATGTGAAATATTAGGCTCGCTCATTATTGCCATCCCTGCATATATGATGTTTGAAACATCCACTTTTCATTTACAGAAAACTTAAGTAAGACCCAACTCCAGAATAGTCTCTGATGAGTTCCAGAAAGTCATACAGTTTTTTTACACAAAGGATGAGAGGAGGGACTAAAAGAATAGCGAAAAATTTACATACATCTAAAACAAATACAGAATAGCCAAAAGAGATTTCCCAAAATCGGAGTAAAAACAATGTGAAAATCCAAAATAAGAGTAGTATTTTTCCCTAATTAGGGGTAAATTATTGTCATTTGAAGTCACACAGTCATATTCTGGCATTACCGGGCATTAATATGGCAGTATTAATGCTGCTGTATTTTCCATGTATGGCAGTAGTTACTCCTGCTTTGGAATTTCACTTTATTTTTACTCCTATTTAGTACAAGTTCCGTATTTCCAGGTGTTGTAAAAATGTTCTTTTGAAGTTCCTTCATCATTCACATTTTGAATAATACTTTCTTCTTAAGATTAATCTATTCACTCAATTTATACTTAAAATAGTATTCACTTTGATCTCCTGCTCTGAATTTATCATATGATGAACAAACTTCAAAATAACATTTGATGTTATAGTCATTGCCAGTTTAGAAGCACGGACCAAGGAATAGTTAACAGGAGAGTGATTGGAGTGTAACCAAATACCTGAATTCAATACGAACAACGTTCGTGGAATCAGAAATCTGCATGAAACTAGGGCGGGCTTGGATTTCTACCCAGCCTCCTGGGAATGGCGCATGGCGTGACATGTTTAGCAAAAAATCTGCTAGTACCTGCTGAATTCTCACTTGATCCCCATTAAGTGCCAGTGTCTTAATTTCTTCTGGAATGTCCCGGATTAGTTGCAGTCCTCTTTCTCTCAGAAAGGACATCACTTGGCTAACAATAGCATCTATTACCCTCCCGAGATAAAAATCCGCGTTTTCCAGCTCAAGCGAACTGTAATCAAGAAATTTGAATCTTAGTCTAGCTATGCATAGGAATACATTACTTTCCCTCTTGTTTCATTTCCCACACTAATTCTTTCTTCTATGTTTTTTATTGTAATGCACCAAAAGTTATGTAACCATTAAACATGGTAACTTTGCAAGGCATGCTCCAAATGCTTTTACTATAAATTCCAGAGACTATTTTCTTAAGAAAAATAGTAGCTATGGTAACATAAATGAAGTTTTTTACTTGTTCCCTGAACACGAATACCAGCAAGCACAATAAATAATGAAAGAGCTTACCCGTCTTCAATTTTTTCCATATCAACATCCCTTATAATCTTCAACATTTGTTTCTCACAAGCAGCACTAGTCTCCAAAAACTCCTTTTGATCTTCTGTCAGCTGTGTTCCCTCCAATAATGAATTTGTGAAGCGTATTCCGTTTAGCGGATTTTTTATTTCCTGACAGATGTAAGCCAGCTCTTTCATCCTTGAAAAAGACTTCTTTTCCTGCTCCCTCTGGACAGTGAGAGCTTGCTGCAATTCCGCACTGGCAATCTGCAAGAAGCAGAAGGCCCCAACAATCTGTCCGTCCATATTTGCTCTCTTATTCGCTGTCAAGAGAGCTTGTACGTATTTCCCATTCCTGTCAAAAAAGGAAAAGGGGAACCTTTCTGTGTCTTGTCCTCCAATCGCATTATGCAACACGATCATGAATTTGGTCAAAGCATCCGGGCCCCTCAGCCTACAACAGCTTCCGAAAGCCTCACCTACTAGCAATTTGCCGATCATTTCCCCCCGGCTCCAGCCAGTAAGGTTTTCCATGGCAGTGTTCCACTCGGAGCATAACGTGTTCTCATCTGAAGCAAATATGGGAGGGATCAGAGGGTTGGGACTGTGTATAATAGCCTTGTAATCGCCTTGTATGTGAATGAATTTGTCCATTACAACTTTCTGTCCGGTGACATCTTGACCAACAAAGCAGACACCAACGATGTTGTTTGTGTAATCCTTGCTGGAACATGCATTGACCACTACAAATATAGCCTTCTTATCTTGCTCACTGCCAAATGTTCTCATTTTTATCTCTACGTTCTTATCTTCTTCACCTGCAACAAACCATAGCAATAAAATTAAGATATGTGGAAAACACGCATTTAACTGAAGAAACAATAATTAATATTTCCAGTAATCGCTGCAACATCAAAATCCAAAAGAATTACGATGGCATTCTTTAATAACCCGTGGCTGAGAAGTGTGCTTGGGACGATTTACTTTCAAGGAATAAAAAGTGCTCTTACATGAACCAGTACTTTGACTTAAAAAATACTACTAATTTGTTAACTGGAAAATGCAAAAGTGCTTTTAATGGATAAAAGTGACACTTTTAATGCTCACGGACTGGTGGTTTTTTGAGAGCACTTTACCTGCTTATTGAGAAAGCATCATTTCATTTTCATTTACCCCAGTGCCGCAAAGGCTCCCACCTACGGTGGGGTAGGGGGGTCGGATGTACGCAGTCTTACCCCTGTACTAAAGCACAAAGAGACTGTTTCCGGATGACCCAAATAAGAACTAACAGTACCAACTAACATCTCAAAGCTGATCACTCGTGATACTGTATAATGGAGACAAAAGTGGAACACAAAAAAAGAGCAAAGAAGAGAGATAACCTCTTAATGCATTAAACAAAAGCTTCTCAGCAGCTTCTTGTGACTCTTTATGAACAAGATCATGAATCAACGACTTCCCCATTGCTTCCTCAACAGACAACCCAACCAATTCTGCAACTTTAGCATTCCACCCATTTATCCGTCCCTCGACATCCACAGCAAATATGGGAGCCGTGGCAGTTTCTATCAACCTAACCATCTCTCTAGCAACTGAGCTCAGCTCATCCATCCCTTGCAACTCTAATTCCCCAAGTGGAACATTCACAACAGCCTTAGAATTGCTTGCCTCAGCATCTTTAAATGAATCACGAAGGATTAGCTGTAAAGAGTGAATGGCATCCATCTCAGCAGTCTCCCAAGGCAGACTGCGACTCTTGACAACTTCAAGAAACGCCTTGAATGAAGAACGAGGATGCATCCTCTGTCCATCGTCCTTATCCTCCGGGTGATGTTTGGCCCCACCCCACTTGATCTCTTTCGCGGTGTGGGACCGGAACCAGAAAAGATAATCTCTGGTGGTTATATAAGCAACAGCCATCCCACAAACGGCATCTCCAAGTAAGGCTGCACCAGGATACCCTGCGTCACCCAAACTATCCGTGCTCAACCCGGTTGAGTCGCCATGGTAAGTCAACAGCCAGTCAACTATGTCCCTTATCTGGGCTTCAGTGGGTGTAACACCCAAAGGGTAGTATTTTCCCTGGTAGTATAATGCAGCCCCATCACACTTCACAAGATCCATAATACTAGGGCTCTGGGTGACAATCCCAGTAGGGGCATCCCTCAAAAGCATATCACACAACAGTGTTTGTGTCCTCAGGACATGTTTCTCCGACAACTGTGATGCCAATTGGAGTTCCATGTTCAGCTGGAGGCCAAAGGCCTGCATGAGGAACTCACAGGCGTATCGGAGAGGGAAAGGTATGCATCTGGCAGAAGTGTGATGGCCGACGACCAAACCCCATAGCCTCATCGAGTTTCTTCCTCCTATGGCTTCCTCATCACTCCCATTTATAACAACTGCAAGTGTCAAAGAAGCGATGGAGCCCATATTCGCCATGTACTGTGCATGACAACCATGAGGGGCACGAAGGGTGGAACCCACTAAACAGAGGGGCTGCATAAGAGATTCGTCTTGAACGACCCGAATAGGAATGGCATTGCAATCAGCAATCATCCTAACCCTGTTCTGTTTAAACAAGAATCTAGATGCCTGAGGAATGTCTGTGGCGGGATAGTGTAACCCAATATAGGGTTCTAAATCCGGCCTTTTGCTTTCAGCCACGACCTCACCATGTTCATCCTCATGAAACTTATACACCATGACTCGGTCATAGCCTGTTAGCTCTCTGACGCTCTCAACCACAGTGTCACACAAAATCTTGATATCCCCACCAGGGAGTGACTGCAAGTGGGAGATAGCTCTCACTGCGAGCTTCTGAGACTGCACAGCTCCTGCAATAGATAAGGCGGGGTCCTCAGTCCTAGCTGGTTCCAAGTCTATAACTATTCCAACATCAATCCTATGCAAAATAGCGTAAAATGGCTTCCCAGAGATCTTCGAATGGATCCAGATTGGGTTGAGCAGAGTGATCTCTCTCGCACCAAACGCACGCTCAAGCAAAATCGAACTGGATGAGGTAAAAACGGTCCTTACATCCGTCCCAATCATGAGGACTTCAGGCCTCTCGAGGCTCGGAACTGACTGAGGTGTTAACCCAAGCATCTCCCGGGCGTTCTCGCTGTAACCAATGACGCGAAAGCTGGGCTCGTCCACGGCAATCATACACCCGAACGGCTGAATGTGACCTCCTCGCTGGATTTTCGACAAGTAGGCGGTGATTTGCTTCTCAGGAACACTCTGGATGGTGGTCTTCACGGATTGGGAGTAATCGAACGACTTGCCGGATTCGCCGGATTGCTCGAAGACGGCGTGGAGTCTAGCATCCAAAGTGTACTGCGCTACAGCTTTGCTAACTGCATCGCGATAAATAACATTACTGGTACCTGAAGATTGAGCTTGCATCGTGGAATTGAGTTGACTTTGCTGCATTTGCTTTGACTTGCTTCCCGAAGTCATATACTGCTGGGGTTATCGTCCTCCTTTCCTGGAGAAGAAAGAAGAAAAAGGTGCGGTTTTCAGTCAATCTGAGAATTCATGGAGAATTACCGTTGAGGAAAAATGAGATGAAGAAGAAGTGGACGATACTCTGAAAGCAGCATCTTGAGGATCATGTTTGATTTTATTTATTTATTTATATTTTCCTTTTGATATCCTTATATTTTTCTCAACGTAGACACGCAGTCCCGGCTGATTGGTGCAATAATTATTATTTATTACTATATGTCCCGCTATGATTTTCTCATTTTATCTTATTCGTCCGTCCCACTAAAATTGTCTCATACCAAATTTGGTAAGTTTATGTGGCTCTAAATTATTCTTACTTTATTCTTACTTTATCAATTCAAAATCAATAACATAAATAACTTTTTATTAATTTGCGTGTTACTCTTCCTCGTAGTATGCTCTTAATGATGCATGAACCTTCCTCCACATAGATCGACTCTAGATCGACAGTTGTTCCGTTTTTTATTTTTATGTTTTAATTATTAAAATAAAATAATAAAATATCTGCGTAGTATGAGGCTGGCATGTGCTAGTACATACCGAGTAATAATTATTTGATCACAAAAAGAAACAAACAGATTTATTACGAAAATTATTCACAAATTTCAGTTTTTCTATTTTTTTTTTTGGAAGAAATTCCAGTTTTTCTATTTGATAAGTGAAAATAATTTCATGACAAAAATTTGACTCATGGCGTATATTTGTGCCAAAAAGTAGTACCAATGTAATTCCAAGCCTCAAGCATAATAATACTGTGTATGTAGCAATTCTGTCACCATCAATGAGACCATGGTTGGACATGAACATTTTCTATTGTAATCTTATTTTAGTCTGATTACTTTAGGTGTATACTGAAAGAACTATAAATCAAGTCAGGATAACCACAGTCACTTACCAGTGATTAGGGCAGAGCACAAGTCGAGCTCAAAATTTGAAAACTCGTTCGATTATCGGATTGATAATTTTAAATCCTATCCTATCAAAAAATTATCGGGTTTTTCGGGTTGAAGAAGTTCGGGTTGTGGTCGGGTTGATTCGGTTTTCAGGTCCATTCGAATTTTAATTTATTATTATTGTTGAAATTGTGATAAATAAAAATGGTAATTGGTAAAATATCATTCAAAGTTATATTAGTATAACATTCAAAGTAATAGTTGTATAATTACGGTAATCGACATATTTGAACATGTAAAATAATAATATACGATGATTGGTATATTTGATATTATGATAAATAAAATGATAATTGATCAAAATATCATTCAAAGTCATAACAATACAACATTCAAAGTTATAGTTGTACAAATACGGTAATTGGAATATTTGAACATACATAACATTGTAATTGACATACAATATTTGAGATATTTGAACATGCATAATAATTCAAAATAGTGTACGGAGTATATAATACGCTAGTTCGGGTAGTCGGGCGGGTCGGGTAGCCTAATTTATAACCCTACCCGCTACCCGCTTAAGTCACGGGCTGCAAGAATCGGTTCGAGTTGGGGTATTTCGGGTCGGGTTTTCCATGTAACACCGTCCCCAAGTATATTTACTTTTAGTAAATCATGTAATAAACCTTGAATAATGATTCGTGAATTTACGAGGTTGTAAATTTTTGTTATTACGTTCGCGTGAATAGTGAATTGCACGTGGGGCCCACATCGGGAGCGGGGACCACCCGATAAACCCGGGACCACATATTATATTCATCTTGGTCTAGATAATATTTATATGGTGGTGGATATTTTATTTGGGTCGTGGAAAGGCTCGGAGTTGACCGGTCGGTCAAACAAGACCCAATTACCAGTATTAGTGATTTATCGGATAACAGTCTGAAACGGATTTCAAAGACTTCTAAATTAAAGGTGAGGAATGCATATTGATTCTAGGAGTCCGTAATGATGGTAAACACATAATATATTTTATTTGACCCGATAAAATAAAATATAATTTAAAGAGTCCGAAAAATACAACTTTAAGGGCCGATTGTACAAATCGGGACACAAAGGGATGACCTCCCACCTGAGTGGGGGCCACCCCACGTTTTTGTGTGCTCAATTTGTTCAGAGGAGGCTGGAGTTGACAAATAAATGTGTGGAGGAGTGGGCTTTGACATCAAAGATACCATGGAGGACCCCTCACCCCATTAATTTGCCATTGAGACAAAACAAGTCACCCTCTCTCGTCCCCAATCATCTAGCTCGCTCAACACATAATTTTTGAGAGGAGAAGCTCTGCAAGATACTCATCCTCCATAGCCAATTCGAACTCAAGCCATAGGAGTCCAAAAAGAAAGCTTGAAGAAGGAAAACGTTAGGAAAAGTGTGGAATATTAAGGTAATAACTTTTTAATAACTTTTCCTCTACTTTTCATTTATCATATGGATTATACATCATATGAGGAACCCCTAGGTTTGTTCTACATATTTAGAAATGTAGAATGAGGGGTTGGAAGGTAGTTCTAAGTCCAAGAATGGACTTAGAAGTCAAAACGACCGGTTCGCCGGAAAATAACCTTTTAGGGGTTATTTGTGTTGATATGGGTTTTGTAATGATAAAACCATGTTAGGAGCTTGACTAAAGTGGTTCTAGATTTCGCCGGAGTTCGCCGGAGTTCAACTAAGAAGAGTAGAATCTTCCTAAAGCTCATTTGAGGTGAGTGGGTGGCTTAATGTCTTGTAACTTTTGGGTTAAGCATGAGATTACCTAAGTATATGTTATGTGTGTTCATAATAATGTTTAAATGAATTAAACATGTGATTAGCCAATTAAAGTGATTAGACTTGTATGAAGTGAACTATTGAAATATGCATGATTTGTGAAGTGAAAATGCTCATAAAAACATGTGTGATATGTTTAGAGATGAAATGTGCATAAAATAGTTATTTATAACTTAGTACATATTGTGACTAAGTTTGACACACATTGGATTTGGAATGGCGGGTCAACCGAGAGTTGACCGACGCCGGTTTGGCCTTACTTTACCTATATGCTATTTTTAATGCATGAGTTGCATGAATGATTTTGTTTAGGCCTTAAGACTTGGTCTAGTCTTGTTTATTGATTATGATATAGGTCCTATCTAGTATGATATGTGGTAGATCATAGGTCGGGTGGAGTACCCAAGGATCGGGCGGTATCCTCAAAACTCGGTTATATAGGGTGGAGTACCCAAGGATCGGGCGGTATCCTCAAAACTCGGTTATATAGGGTGGAGTACCCAAGGATCGGGCGGTATCCTCAAAACTCGGTTATATAGGGTGGAGTACCCAGGGGCGGATCTACCTTATTGATAGTGGGGGGGGGGGGGGGGGCACATGCCCCCAATAAGCTTTGAATAATGTATTAATAATATAGTATTTTCTGCAATTTTAATTTTAAAAGGAAGAGTTTGCCCCCATTAAATTTTTCTCATGCCCCCAATAGATATTTGTGAGATGTTACGTTGTATCATATGAATGACTAAAAATGTGTTAATTATCTTAAATAAATCTAATTGTACAAAGTTAAAATGACCAAATTTTTGAGGAATTGTGGTGGCAAAATAAGGTACGGAGTATTAAATTAAATTAAATTAAACTATATTTAATTTAGCTAATGAATTGAAGTAATAATGTACTACTTGGCTCATGATGTTTTCATTTTCATTTCTAATTAAGTGAATTTATGAAATACAAATGATTATTATGGATCTAGCCTTCTTATATTATACTCTGTATTGACCGTATATATGAAACATTTACATATATATGACTAAAATAAATTTTATTTATAAAACGTGACATCATAAGTGTGGTGATTATAGTAATATTTTAGTCATATTAACTTATGTTCAATTTTTACACTTAAGTGACTATGAGATTATATTATGATAAGTATTGTTCATATTTTGTAAATAAATATTATTTCAGTAATATTTTTGAAAACCCTCTTACTTCTACAATTAGAGCTCCATGCAATTATTCAAGATTAGTAGAAATTCGCCAATATTATTTTGGAGGTTTTTTCAAAAATATTACTAAAATAAAATTTATTTACACAAATATGACTAATAGTTACTACAATGTAATGTCATGATAATTTAAGTTGCAAAATTAAACATAAGTCACTATCATTCCATTACTATTCTAGTAATTATTCACACTTTTGTAAACCATTTTTATTTAAATCAAAATTTTGTAATTATTTTTATTTTTTTACACGAAAAGTAAGCTAAAAATTACATAAATTATGATGGATCCGAATTTGGGACGACTTACTCATGTGTCCGTATTTAATACTCCGTATATAGTATTTAATACTCCGTATATATTTATTTTAATTGATATTATTATGCCCCCAATAAGTATTTTTTCTGTATCCGCCACTGGGAGTACCCAAGGATCGGGCGGTATCCTCAAAACTCGGTTATATAGGGTGGAGTACCCAAGGATCGGGCGGTATCCTCAAAACTCGGTTATATAGGGTGGAGTACCCAAGGATCGGGCGTGTACCCTCAAAACTCATAGATTACTATTTAGTAATTCAGGATCGGGTGGTGTCCTTATGATTATTTGATTGGACAGGAGGAGTCCTATACACTCATAGGTCTATGGGTGGGTTGGGGTTTTAAGTCAAGGATATTGACTACTATTATTTTTTTCCAATTAAACAATGACCTACGGGTCAGGTATTTCCAAGTGTATATAAGTACTGATATGTATTTTGTAACTTGGGGCAAGGAAGTATAAGTATATGTATCACCCTATGTTTGGGTCTTATACTTGAAACGTTAGTTACTCTACCTTTAGCTTGCTACTCGCTCGGTACTTGTACTGACCCCTTCGGGGGGCCCCACCATTTCAGGTTGAAGCTAGAGCCTGTTGTCTACACCTTTGCACGGGTGGAAAGAATCTAGAGGAAGACGTGGTTCGTGCTTCCATTATTATTTTAAAACATAAACTATGCTCATGGATACTTTTGTAATATTACATTGTTTTGGCCTGCGAGCCTACCTTTTGCCATATGTGGCTTATGATTGACTGTTGAATATTTTTCGCTATTCATTCAATCTATGATGTGATGTTGTTATGTATGTTTACTGGTGAGTATGGTGTGAACGATGTTCATGGATGCCTTGTGTGATTATGTGAGGTTAACATGCGAGTGACGTCACTTAATCACACGGCGG